TGAATAATTGTTTTAAGCAAATTTATGAATATTCGAATGTATTTGGAAATTGGGATTAGAGTAATAAAACTAAGTTATTTAGAAATAAATGTATTTGACAATGGATATAACCGAATTAAATAATCAAAAATAAAAAAGGTTAAGAAAAATTGTGGTGATGGCACATCATAAAAATGACCTTCAATGTTTCTTATAGAAGATTTTTTTTCAATTTTAATTGTTAGATTTATTTATTACAATCTTTGAATAATTGTTTTAGGCAAGTTTATGAATACTCTAATGTGTGTAGCGATTGGAATTAGAGTAAACAAAATAAGTTATTTAGAATTAAAGGTGTTTGGTAATGAGTATAACCGAATTAAATAAATTAAATATAAAAATGCTATAAAAAATTATGGTGATGACACATCATAAAAATGACATTCAATGTTTTTTTTGTTAATATATAGAAGATTTTTGTTCAATTTTAATTGTTAGGTATACTTTGAATAAATTTTTTAGGCAAGTTTATGGATTATCTAATGTGTTTGACAGCTTGAATTAGGGTAATTAAAATAAGATATTTAAAAATAAATATGTTTGACAATGAGTATAACCGAATTAAATAAAAAAAAATTGTGGTGATGACTTAAAAACAACCTTCAATGTATCTCCTTTAATATATAAATATTTATAATTTTTTTAATTTTTCTGAACTATTTCCCAAAAATAAAATAAATGGGTAAAACTTGTATGTTTAAAAAGTGTAGGGTACTGTTTAGCAATTAATAATAAATGGAGCTAAAAAATGCTTGGAATATTAATTTGAAGTAAAAAAGTGAAGCACATGATTGGAGAAAACTTGTTTCATATTTTTCTTCATTTTGAAAAAATGTCATTTTTGGAAAAAGAAATATGAAATCAATGATTGGAGATGCTTTAATTTTAGTAAAATAACATGAATGAAAAACAACTTGATCCACAAACGAATTAGTTTGACTAGCTAATACCATTACATTTTGTGTTTTCTTAACTGCAAGGGCTAAAAAATTTCAACGAGCTTGTGGTAGGATATTTAAAGAACAAAAAAAGAAAAAAAATCAATATACCGTTTAAATAAAAATATTGTCATTCGTAATTCGCACATACAAATCTTCAACCATTAAAAATAA